GTTCTGCACGTAGCACATGAAGTAGTGGCAGTGCGTGATGACCTGCTTGTGCGCGTGGATGAGCGCGTTGACCTGCTATATGAACCCGACTGTCACCGTGTCAGCACTGTTCGCCTTGACGCACTCGGACGGCGCGCCACCCGTGCAGGACAGGCGGGGCTGGTCGTTGTGCTCCAGCAAGCAGTTGGCGAGTTTGATGACGGCCCTGTCCTGCTCCTCATAGTTTGAGCAGTGGCCCGACATGGAGCCGAACACAGAGGCCATGCAGCCTGTGAAGGTGGCCTGCTGGAAGCCCTTCCCTGGGCCGTGTTCCACCATCATCTCCACGATGTGCCGGACCCGCTGGAGAAGGCCGCGCGCCTGGTAAAGTGGCTGCTCGTCGCGGGCCGAACTCCTGGTGCGGTGCGCAAGGGTGCCGCCTGCAGAGCCCACATCGGTGTTCCAGACGGTGCACGCCATCACGCGTTGCTACAAGGACCACTGCTCGGGCGTACCAGACCACTGTGTGCCCATCGTCGCGGAGGTGACGCACGCAGTGCTGTCGGCGGCGGTGGACATTTGGGAGTGCCACGAGGAAACGGTCATCAAGCCGGAGGTGGAGAGGGAGACGATTCGGAGGCCGATCGATGTGATCAGCCGACATTCAGTGCCGGAATGGTCCAAGAACTCATCGGCAATTCACACGGAGATTTCGCGCAAGTACCGATTCGCGGAGAATTTGTTGGTGATGATTAAGCGGGCGAAGTAGGGTTGCCCGATGCAGCCCAGTCGATCACGCGTCAGGGTGTCGTGTGCTGCATATCGGTGGGACTGTGTCAATGTCGAATAGTGTTACGGACTGCATATTCTTCAAGACAAGTGTTGCACCCAAATGTCACTACCTACGACGAGTGTGTTGTTTTTTTGCAAGGGATTTAGGGAACCCTATTGTCAGTATCTGACGGAAAAACGTTACTGAGGTTGTACAGTCAGGGCAAGAGTAAAGGCACCCCGAGGCGCAAGGGCACCCATTCCCCTAGTTGCTGTAGACCATAGATCTACGGGTACGCACACAGCGCAGGGGACGAGGGCCGCTGTGAGGCTGCTGCCTCGAACGGACAAGCAACGGGGGCTGTGCTCCAACAGGAACCACAAGCGGTGGTACCGTTTCGGTGTAGTACTGCTTGCGCGTCAGCTGGTACACCCTGCGTCGCTGCGGCACGTGCAGGCACACGTGTCGTTGTTGAGCTGGGGGGATATACGAGTGGTGAGCAAGACATGCATCGCGAGGCACACGCATCATGAGGCACACGCATCGCGAGGCACACGCATTCAATGCCCCGCCGCACTCGGACGGCGCCCGCACCCGCCGCGGGCGCACCGGCAGCCGCCGGCAGCCGCCAGCACGCGCTCGCCGACGCATGGCTGGCGATGCTGGACACGCTCGTCCGTGTGTACAATGTCCACGGCCGGGTGCCCAAAAAGTATGGCACCGCGGCGCGGGTCTCTGGGAACATGCTCACTGTCGTCCTGTGCCTGCCGTGCCTTGTGTGGTCCGCGGCGTGGCGCATCACCTGCTGCCCAGTCATGTGCCTTGGCAAGGGCCCGAGCGACAGCTGCTCGCCTGACTGCACTGAGTGCTGCGACGGCTGCACGGGGCGCTGGCTGGAGGAGGTCAACACGACGCACAAGCTGCTGCAGCCGGCGCCCCAGATGATCACGGAGGCTCAGAAGGAGCGGTTCGGGGTGCTGATGAGGGAGCTCGACGCGATCTTTGCCGCCGCGCAGTTTGGCGCCGGCCACTACGAGCTGGCCGGCGCGTGCCTGAACACAACGCCGAACAAGGCGAGGGCACGGGTGGCATCGCTGATGGCGGCGGCCATGTGAGAGGGAGCACATAAAAGCGGGCCCGCACGCACACACACACACACACAGCGTCCCCACCCAGCCTTTCTTTCTCCGCCACTCCGCGACGCGCCACAAGCACCGGGGGGAGTTCTCGCGCCATGGCAGGCATGTCATCCACGTTCGCCGCCGCTCGTGACGGCGACACTCTGGCGCACGTCTGGCTCCTGGACAGCGCCGAGGGCAGGCAGCTGTCCGACGTGCGCGTGACCGCGCGTGTCAGCGTGGAGCTGGGCGGCGCATTGGCGTGGGAGCTGCGGGGCCACGCCGCGGTGCTTGCCGCCTGCAGCCAGCACCTGTGCGGCAGCCTGCTGTGGAGGGAGGCCGCGGTGTGGCACTGGCAGGCGCCCGCAGAGGTGGAGCTGCTGGTGGCGTCCGAGGAGGAGGCGCGCGTCCTGCACACCGTGCTGTGCCTGGCCTACGCGCCGCCCGGCACCGTGGGTGAGTGCGCCGCCCGACTGCTGCCGCGTGAGCTGCTGCCGCTCGCCGTCCGCACCGCCGACTTCCTGGTCATGCCCGCCATCGCTCAGGCGTGCCTCGCGCTCCTGCGGCTGCTGCGCGCGGCCGCGCTCGTGGACGGCCCGCCCCTCCTCGCGGACGGCCACGGGCCCCTCGCGCCGAGTGCGGCCACACTGTGCATGGCGCTCACGCACATCCCGGCCCACCACGCCGACGTGCTGCACGACGCGGACGCCCTGCTCGCCGCGCACCTGTCCCTGAGGAGCGTCTGGTCGCTGCCGGGGGAGCTCACGTGGCTGCGCAACGCGCCGCAGTGCACGTGCGAGCTGGCGTGGCAGCTGGCCGCTGGTACGGGTGCCGGCGCGGGCGCGGGCGCGGGCGCGGGTGCGGGCGCGAACCGCGACCAAGACGGCGGCGGCGGCGGCAGCAGCGCCGCCGCGGTGGCGGCGGCGGCGGCGGGCGCGCGGTGCGAGGCCCTGTGCACCGCCATCTGCGTGTATGCGCCGCACGGCGTGCTGATCCTGGCGCGCGCGGCTGTCAGCTGCACGGCCCCAGACGGCCGCACGCTGCTGGACTGGTGCTTCCGCTGCGACGCCAGCCTGGCGGAGCGCGGCGACGACCTGTACCCGCTGTGCGCGTCGGGCGCCGTGGTGGCGGCGCTGGGCGGCGCGCTGGGCTGCACGCTGAGCGAGGACACGCTGTCGCGGGTCCTGGAGCGGCTGGCCTTCGTGTACCGGGACGTCACGGCCGAGGCCCTCGCGCGCGAGCTGCTGTCGGTGTTCTGCGCG